AACCACATACATACACACGCACACTGACCTTCCGGAGCAGACTGGCGTCCGACTGTGACCTCTCTAACATCCTGTAGGGGTCATTCAGTCGCCCCGACTCCGTATCTCCCTCCTCCCCATCCTGCTGAAACGAGCCAGCCGACGAGATCCGGTGCAGGTTGGAACTCGGGCTCTCTAGGAACACGTCCGCCTCGTCCTCCACCACCTCCGTCATTCTCGGAGAGGCGAGGTCGAGGTGGACGGGAGGACTCGCTTTTTGCGCCGTTTTTGAGGCTTCTGAGGCTTCTGGGTCGGTGGAATAGGAGAGCGCGAAAGTCACGCCTTTGTCGGCTGTGTCAGAATAATATGATGATGGGATGATGTCCTCCGCCTCTCTCCACTTTCTTGGCTCAACTTGAGAGGGGGGAAAATCGTTCGAAAAGGGGCGAGAACTCTGACTACTCTCAGAAAAAGAAGAGTGCTTCGAAGCAGCAGTAGTCGCTCTTAGAGCCCACGTCGTAGGCGGAGGCGGAAACGGCCGAGGTTGGGCGAAAAGTGACGAAGAAGAAGATGCCGAAGCCGAAGCCGAAACCGAAGCCGAGAGGGCTGAAGACGATGAAGTGCTGCTTTCAACGTTGAGCTGATCGGAAATTCCCGAATCGCAGTCGTCTGCCGCTTCGAAAATGAGGGGTAACGATCGCCTTTTTAGTGGAGATTCTGCCAGTTTGAGGGCGGCTGATGCCACAGTGTCTTCCCCGTCGGTGGTGGTGTAGTCGTTAGAGTGCAAAGCGCTGAATGGGTTGGGTTCGGAGAAGCAGAGGCTGGACAAGGGGGGCGACTCATCTTGTGGTTCTAGATAGTGTGGCAGGGGAGGTGACTCCGAGTTCGCCCCTGGAGAGTTGTCTGCCCCAGATGGCGCTTTCCGGCCGCAGGACGATCGGGCCCGTCCTGTAGATAGACAGATATATAGAAGGAGGTATAAGATCAATGAGACAAGCGAACGTAAGCACACACAAACATACACAAACATATTATACACACACACACACACACACACACACACACACACACACACAAATGAACGGGCTCGTCCTGTAGATAGACAAGATAGATGGTGGTATACTATCAATGAGACTAGCGAACATACGCACATACAGACATACATATACACATACATTATAAACAGGCCCTTCCTGTAGATAGAGAGATAGATAGATGGACAGATAGATAGATGGATGTATAAGATCAAGGAGACTACCGAACCTACGCACACACAGACATACATATACATACATTATGAACAGGCATTTCCTGTAGATAGAGAGATAGATAGATAGATAGACAGATAGATAGAGGTATAAGATCAATGAGACTACCGAACCTGCGCACACACAAACATATACAAACATATTGTGCACACACACACTCACACATACGCGCGCACACACACACACACACACACACACACACACACACACACACACACACACACACACACACACACTCACTTACACTCACACACACACACAGACACACAAATGAACGGACTCGTCCTGTAAATAGATAGATAGACGGAGGTATAAGATAGATGAGACTAGCGAACATGGAGGTATAAGATAGGTGAGACTAAAAACATGGAGGTATAAGGTAGGTGTGACAAAAAACAATGGAGGTATAAGATATGTGGGACTAAAAAAACATGGAGGTAGAAGATAGGTGAGACTAAAAATATGGAGGTATAAGATAGGTGAGACTAGCGAACATGGAGGTATAAGATATGTGAGACTAAAAAAACATGGAGGTATAAGATAGGTGAGACTAGAGAATATGGAGGTATAAGATAGGTGAGACTAGAGAACATGGAGGTAAATATAGGTGAGACTAAAAACATGGAGGTATATTATGGTAGGTGAGACTAAAAAAACACAACATGGAGGTATAAAATAGTTTTAGTTTTAGTAAGTGTTTTACGGCATTTGCAACACAATAATGTTATATAAGTGCCGAAGATTAAAGGTGTTACATGAGAGTAACAAACACAAAAAAGGAGGAGAGATAAGGACGATAGATGTTAGGTATGAAAGAAGGAGCAAATCACACAAGAGCACCCGCCAACCGCCCACTTAGGTGAGACTAAAAAATAATAATATGGAGGTATCACATTATATTATGAGACAAGCGAACATACACACACGTATATATATAATATTGTGCAACAAGACACATGGGCGCATACACACGTGTATGCACATACACCTCCCTCCTCTCCCAACGCCCCCACATTCTCTCTCCCTCACCCTGTCTCTCTCTCTTTCTCTCTCT